CTTTAGAGTGGCACTCTGCAAAAAGTGAAGGTATTTTCCCTTCCATCAAACTTTTCCTACTAGGAATCTTGTAGCGTGGGTCCACTGTCAACAAAATTCCTAAACCCCTTATCCTCAACCACAGAGAGAGGTTGCAGGTCCATCACAATTATTTCACATTGGCTCCTTGTGATGGCACTTGCTCTTGGGGAATCACCTGAGATGAAATGAAATACCTAAAATTACCCTACAATACCCTTATCATACGAATCTTATTCTTTCCATTTGTTTGTTTTCCCTAGAAATTTGTTGTAGAAGCAGCGCTGTCAAGATTTATACAATTCTATTGTCAAATAAAAAAGTGTTTACTCAGTGCTTATCATTGTGCAATAAAAGGCATTATTTTGAGCGTGACTTCACCGATCGTGAAGATTAGCAATTTACCACTTAATCATTTAATGAGAACACTGACGTTTATTAAAATGAAATCATAAAAACTATGGCGGACCAAATTAAACGATGGCCGTCGCCAGAATCTCGTTTATGTGGGAAACTCAGCATGTCTGTAGTTAGGCTACTACATCAGTCATAGATCTTCTAAATTACCTGGATATTCCCTGCCTCTCTGAAGAGACTCTGCCAATGAACTCTGCCTCGGCGCAGGAGGTCTTTCTGACGGCTCTCTCTCCTCCTCCCTGCGTGACTGTAGCTCAGTGTATTGTGTATTTTCAGGTGTTTGTATAGGTTGGTTGTGTTACCACAATATTTAAGGCTTTTGCGACACACGTCGCAGGTAGCAGTGGCCTTATCTACAAACGCGAAGTAGCTCCACCCCGCGCTCCTCTTTTTCTCAGCCATCTTCGACACAACTGCTCGCGCTGGGCTGCTGCAGCACTGAACAAGTCACTTGGTAATGGTGCGTTCGTTTTTCTCTCGGAACTCGGAAATTCCGAGTTGAGTGACATCACATCCGACAATCTCCCGTTCGAGCTACCCACATCTCGGAACAAATATGGCTGCCTCCATGAACACGTTGCTGTGTGTTGTTGCTTTATATTTTAGCAGATTTGGAGTTTTCCAAATGGAGAAAATGGAGAAATTGAGATTTTTCCGAGAGACAAACAAGAAACACGAACCAGTCAAACCACATTAAAAGCTTTATAAAATATTTTAATACATTCACAGTGACATTCTTTTTTCAAACGGTAAATAAACTACAAACAA